GATAAAATTACAAATATAACTAATATTGCCATGATTATTTATAAGTTGGAGTAAATGATTTACGTGTTAATTTCATATTTATGAACATATATGAACTAAATGTTTAGAATGTGAAATTTAAATGATTTAATGCTTGAGGTAAATATTGATATCTGATGAAATTAACGATGAAAAAATAATTAAGCATGAAATGATGTATAGACATGAGAAATATGTATTGATATTGGCATGCATAATTCATAAAGTGTTTTGTGAGGCTTTTTATCTCTGAGGGATGTTTCTTCCCCCATCTGGTTTGAAAAGACATGAAAAAAACGCTCCCTATGGACGATGGCTACCCACTGACATTAGTCGTCACATCTCACCTTTCCCATTGATTTTTTCTCTTCTTACCAGATTTAGCCACTTAGCGTAAATATAATGGTCCCCATTTTCTATAAATAGAGACCCTCCCTTCACCATTTCCTCATACTTCCATATCCATTCTTCCATCCTCCAAGAGCTTTATAGAGAGAGGGAGTGATCTAGAGAGAGAGGGAGAGGAGGAGAAGAAGAAAAGGCATAGGAACAACATCCAAGTTTTAGTAAGAAATTTAGTATTTACTTCAAACATCCTACGGAGCATTTGTAGATAGAATTAACAAAGTTAAACTAAATATTTGCATGATTATTTTATAAGTTTGAGTGAAATGATTTATGTTGTTAATTTCATATTTTATGAACGTATATGAACTAATTGTGCATGTTAAATGATTTAATGCTTGAGGTAAATATTGATATGTGATGAAATTGATGGTGGAAAAATAATTAAGCATGAAATGATGTATAGACATGAGAAATATGTATTGGTATTAGCATGCATAATTCATAAAGTGTTTCGCTAGGTTTTTTATCTCTAAGGATTTTCTATTTCTCCCCCCATCTAGTCTAAAAAGACGTGAGAGGACCGCTCCCTGTGGATGATAACATACCCTCTAACGAGAGTGGTGACGTGATATAGCTATAGGGGTCACCTTTGGTAAAGTACAGTCATGGCCATAGTTAACATGTAGGACTACTATGGTTGGCACAGCAGTGGTCATAGATCATGTCATGATTTAGCAAGCCATAAATGTGTTGTTGGTTTGGCAAGCCATAAATTATTGTTATAAATAAAATCAATTGGTCATTCCACATGGGTAGTCAGGAATCCATATTGCCCTCAGTAGATGGAAGTTTGAATAACTTTGTGCGAAGAATAACATGAAAGACAGTACATATCGTGATTTGTTTTATTTTCTCTACTTTCAACATGATTGATTTGATTAATATGATATGATTATGATTATGATATAATGAGTTCGATAATTTCTTTAATAAAATAAATTATTTTCATAATTTAATAAAGCACCCTAACATGACTCTTAATGGTAAGTAGTGATGATACTTTTAATTACCTTTAAAATCTTATGATGTTATTTAAATATTGTTTTCCTTACTGAGTATATGGAACTCACCCCTTTCCATGCCTCCCTCCAGATGAGGAAGATAGTGAGGAACCGATTGTTGACCTGCCCCTTAAAGTCTTTGAGGATCCCATGTATCCATAAACCTTTATGAGTGCATGACTTGTCTCGTACTCTGATAAGTCCATTTACATAATGATAGAAGTGACCATCTTTTGTATTTTGTTGTCATTTCTGGCCTAAGTTATATATGTAATTGGGAACTCATATTTTGTAAGGAATTTGTAATTATTTCCTCTGCTACATATATTTAACTATTATGCACTCGTAATCTATTTCTGTATCTGGCACCCTTATGCCTTAATTAGCATTTGGGATGTCATAGATGCATAATTACCATATAGTTAATTCATTTCATTTGTTGTATTCCAAAATATGACCAATATGAAATACTGTTTATCTGAGTAATAGATATATTTTTTCTTGTACAAGAGGTTTTGTCATTATTTAAATATTATTTGTATTAGTTTGTAACTGATATATATATGTATTGTTTAATTAACCAACGAATGTATTTACTCAAAAAAAGAGACTCATAATTGTCAACGTAAAATATAACTCGCATAAATATGACATAATTGAACATTTTATCTCTTATAACTATTCAAATACTATTATGTCTAATATATACAATTCCCAAAGATGATGCATGTTCTCATCAAAGCACAATTATATGATATCAATATCTTGTTTTCTTATACTTATACATTACCTTTTCCGTGAATTAGTAATTTTGAAATAAATCACTTAAAATATTATCTCCTATTATCATTCGTAGAATAGTACATTAGTTTCAACTTGAAAA